TTTGTTTGTTTGTGTTATCAAACGTAAAACTGCACAATAGGCTATCTACTTGTGTGGTTGTTTTTAAGCGCAAAGCTATACAACATGCTATTTGTGCTGTACAGTGTGCAGAGCATATATAGTTCATTGTGTAGTTTTGCACTTAACAATAAACAAACAATTAACATTTTTTTAAAGTGTTCAAATCTACTTGTAACTCTTCTTGTCGTTCATCACAATCCGCTAAGAAGCAGAAAAAAATATTAAGACACACGAGAAAGTGAATAAACAAATGCTTGTAAATACAATATTTTATAATAACAGCTGATACAACAATAACATGGCCAATTCTGGTTGCATGCCTAACTTGTTTAATGAAACTTTAGATTAAACACAGAATCTGTGAGTGAAACCTATTCAAGAAACCAAATTAACAGGGTGGAGTGGGGGAATTGACTGTACAGTTGTATAATTTAAAACATAGTTTACTTTCTAATTTATGTATGTGTATATATAGAAATGCACACATTCATTCAGTTGTGTTCTAGTGTTTTGAAGAAATAAAATACATAGAAAAGAAATCATTTGTCCTTAAAAAAAGTGTCAGAAAATTCGGAAGCAAAACTAACAATACATCACAATAATAAAAAATACTGAGGTCGGGGAACGATGCCTATTGATCAACTGATCTTTGTGAAATATGGAATCAAACTAGACGTACAGAAGATGGTACTTTTGAAATTGTTTTTCAATCTTTGTTCAGGTGTGGCCGTAGCCTTGAGGAAAATAAGAGTATTCTAATTATTGGTTAAATAAGGTGTTTAAAAAACCGTAATTAAACCAAATAATCAGATAAGAAGGAAAACGAATGGAAATACAACATTCGTCGATCATGGAAAAATGTAATTACCACTAAATGATTTCTTCAGTTTTGTTGCAATTAAAAATTATGAGTGAATTTACATAATTTCACTGGATCAATATTAATAAAATACTATATATTTCTATATGTAATGCAGTAACCTTATATTTTTTAAATATTATAAAGTAAAATCTGTGTGATTAATGTGCAAAAATATTCCGTGAGGATAATTAAGTTTTTACTTCATTGATTTTACACATTCTATGCATTTATAAATTTTATAATTATCGTGACGTTTATTAATTTTATCCGTAATATTTCTGCATTTATATATACGGAATCCTAGTTTTACATGATAGATATCTGTGTTGTAAATTTTTATTTTGTTTTTTTATATTTTAAATAATTTAGTTCGACAAATTTTAAAACTATTTTTTTTCAGTTTCTTAAGGGGATAATTATAACATTGAGAAATCGTTTTCAATTTTTGTTTAGGTTGGAATCAGTAATGAGTATTCTAAATATGAAAGCGAAGCCAAGCAAGTGGTACACACACACACACACACACACATATATACATATATATATATATATATATATATACATATTTGATATCTAATCTATTGATTTATAATTATATTTGTTTAACGGGACTACAAAGCGAAAAATATATGTTTTAGAAACCTTTTTAATGGTAATTTTCATTCTGTTAATCCATCAGTGCTATTGATAACATATTAAGTTTGTTTTATAATAATAATTTTTTATTTGAACTAAATACTTTATGGTCAGGTTAGTAAACCTTTTATTAATATATCGCTATGTTGACGATCCGAGAATTCGTAGTTTCTCAGCATTAATAAAGAAAATGTAAACTAACTATCGTTAAAGTTTATTAATTGAACGCGAAATCAATCGCGTTCAATTAATCCACATCAGTTATTATCGATGGCCGTTTATATATTTGTTAAAAGTTTTTGTTTTTTTTTAATAAACTTATGGTTTTTCTGTCCTCGTCATTGTTTGTAATTATATTGAGTACGCCTTTGTTAAAATGATTATTACGATAAGAATTTAGAGTTAAGTTTATATATGAGGGTGGCTCGATGAATTCGTTTTGCTTTTTCTTGCAAGCGCCTCCCCGTGGCTCAGCGATAAGCCCGAAATCTTATAACGCTAAAATTGTAAGTCTGACACCCGCGTTTGGACAGAACGGAGATAAATCGTTGAGTAATTGTGTACGTTAGAACAAACAACATAATTTTATTGTGAATTATACGATGCTGTAAAACATTTTACAGAACGTTCGCTCACAATGAACTTAACTTTTTGGGACCGTTTCGTTGTGTTTACAATTAATATTCTGATTCTGCTTGTATTTTAATAGTTTTAAAAGAAACAGTTTATCGTACACTTAACATATACTCGTATGCCCTCTTATGGGTTTGTCTTACTCACGAAACAAAACCAAAACAGTACTGTCTCCATGGAGATCCAGTTAAAGAATACCAAAAACACAACGACGTGCTCGAAGCAATAGCTTATCGCGAAATTGATACAGTACATTTCTTATTCCCTTTAAGCTTTTATATTTGTTTTGTTAGTTTTACGATCACATGTCTTATTTTTTATCCTCTATTCGCCCGTGTCACCAGTTTATATATATATATATATATATATGCCCTGCATTTCGTGTGATACGGCACAAATTATCAACGTAGATCGTGGCCAGTTATTCTACGATAATATGCGAACGTATACAAAAACAAAATGGAAAAGGAACGATAATACATTATTCCCTCTTTAATTGAGTTTGAAGAATTTATAAAGAAAGGAATACTTCTTCATTGCCATTTACATATATTAAAACCTGAAAAAAGGTCTGTAGAATTCCACGAGCTGTCACATTGTTTAAAAGTTGGAAATAATGCATTGCAATTTACATATATTAAAACCTGAAAAAAAGGACTGTAGAATTCCACGAGCTGTCACATTGTTTAAAAGTTGGAAATAATGCATTGCCACTTACATATATTAAAACCTGAAAAAAGGACTAGAATTTCACGAGCTGTCACATTGTTTAAAAGTTGGAAATAATGCATTGCCATTTACATATATTAAAACCTGAAAAAAAGACTAGAATTCCACGAGCTGTCACATTGGTGAAAAGTTGGAAATAATGCATTGCCATTTACATATATTAAAACCTGAAAAAAGGACTGTAGAATTTCACGAGCTGTCACATTGTTTAAAAGTTGGAAATAATGCATTGCCATTTACATATTTTAAAACCTGAAAAAAAGGACTGTAGAATTCCATGAGCTGGAAATAATATTCAACTCGTATATATAGATATATATTCAAATCATATAAACAAGCTATAAAAATAGGAATTATAATAAAAGAGAGAAATAAAATAAATGACAAATAATAGGACAAACAAGTGTTTGGAACACATAATCTTTATGCCTCTATGCTTTTATTTTTATATTTTTAAGCTACAGACTAATGACCATGTTTTATTTCTCAGTAACACTTGTCTTGAGATATTAACTTTTTTAATGGATTGTTTGTGTTTGAATTTCGCGCAAAGCTACACGAGGACTATCTGCGCTAGCCGTCCCTAATTTAGCAGTGTAAGATTAGAGGGAAGGCAGCTAGTCATCACCGTCAACTCTTGGACTACTCTTTTACCAACGAATAGTGGTATTGACCATTACTTTATAACTCCCCCACGGCTGAAAGGGCGAGCATGGAGTGAGGGGGATTCGAACCCGCGACCCGTAGATTGTGAGTCGAGCACCCTAACCACCTGGCCATACCGGGCCGCTTTTTTAATGGAAGAAATAAATTGAAACGTTAAATCCGTCTTTTGTAACACCTTAAATGACCTTTTATATTTACATTTTTAAACGTACAACACATTAAGACGCTGTAACTAAAGTATATAAGTAACGATTTATTATGTGCATAATAAAATGGGTACTTATACTTTCAAATCGAACACTTCTCGCCTTTTAAATATAACAGCTTTTATTCTCACTGCCTGTATTTGGCTAATTAAATTGGATAAAGTCGGCAGTGAAGTTACTACTGCCAACAGAAGACAAGCCATCGCCTCTAGAGATTTAGTGCTTCTGCTGACTCTGTTTCTAAACATTTCAAGTCTTCGTCTGTTACCTCAGAGAATCAGAAAAGCAGACATAAAACTGTCATTTAACTTTGTTTTTTTCTCTGGTAATTCGATAAGCAGAAGCTTTAATAGAATGAAATTAGTTATGGAAATAGCAAAGTGAAAGCAATCAGTACATAAGCGTGGTCATATGTTAATGAGGTTGCGCGTACGCCAGATTCCGCTTCGTGCTGGCTGGCTGAGCAATTTTCTTAGAAAAACAAGTGAGCAGAAAATATATATAAATATGTGCGAGTATTCGGGAACTGATACCTTTTTCATATATATATATATATACACACCGACCAACATTTGCGTTCTGTCTGGAAGATTTTGATTGAAAGTTTAATGTAAGCGATAAAATTATTTTTCCTTTCTATTTCAATTATATATTCCAAACCAAAGTTTAAATTTAACTCCCATTTTTAATTAGTGCCTACGAAACGTTTTTAATTCAGTGAATTCAAGTTTGGCACGTGTTTCTTTAATCAAATCTTTAATTAAGCACGCATATTTCAGAATACTTGTAATGGTCCAAGGTATGTGTTACAACATAAAAGTCTTAAAGGGATTATATTAGTTTCTTTTTGAGTAAGTAATAATGTGTTCAACTTTACCCTTCCATGTTTAACTATATACTCAATACAATGTATTTTTATTTTTAGAGTCTTAAAAAATCTAAGTTGGAAAGGCATAGAGCTTGATTTTTTTAAGCTAAATTTAATAGTTAAAATTTCTTGGTACGGATCCAGGCTCCCAAATATAGGTCAAATTTATATACTTGCTTCCAAAAAAAAAGTAGACTCAAAGCAAAGATAACTCGAGTCATTTTTAAAGTCACGTAGTCGCTGTGAGATATAATGATTATCTCATCCTTTGTTTCTTATAGCAACATGGAAAGTGATTGGATAATCTAGTTTGCTATGACACAGCTTTGACTGGATGGAGTTGAATGTTTTATACTAATTCTGAACTAGTTCCAAATCTAAAGTGGCATTGTGTGAATGGTAAGGTAACGCACCTTGATGTATATCACTCAGTTACAGTTGTATAGTAAGATAAAGTACCTTGAGGTGTATCACCCAGTTGTTTTATGGTAAGATAACGTACCTTAAGATGTATCACTCAGTTGTTGTTTTATAGTAAGATAACGTGCCCTAAGGTATATATTACCCAGTTGTTTTATGGTAAGATAACGCACCTTGATGTATATCACTCAGTTACAGTTGTATAGTAAGATAAAGTACCTTGAGGTGTATCACCCAGTTGTTTTATGGTAAGATAACGTACCTTAAGATGTATCACTCAGTTGTTGTTTTATAGTAAGATAACGTGCCCTGA